AATTGTACTTCATATTCTGATTTAGTTGACTGCTGGACTCAATTTGGTGATAGGAATCCAAATATAACATTCTTTGCTAATTGAATGTTATTCTAACTTGCTCGACTTCAGCACTCGAACGTTATTGGAGTATGTTAAATCTAGAATATAAGAGAAGAAATTGTCTCAAGGCAACAAAACGTCAACGTTAAAAAGTTTAATTTACGCAGTGTTTGTTAATAGTGGATGGCGGTAGGGAACCGAGCTGTTCGCGAACAAAGCTCGTTCGTCTTCGGTAACAGCTCGTTCGTTTAGTAATCGAACATGAAATTATATTTGTTTAGTTATCGAACGAACACGAACGAGTTCGCAAACAAAACGAGTGTTCGCGAACAAAAAGGTATTTTATAATTTTATATATTATATATAGAGTATATGCATATATAATATAATATAATATATAAGTATGAATATATATTAAATATTAAATAATATAACTTGTATGGTATTAAAAAAGTCAACAAACGAACTTGTCGAACAATTCACGAACAAGCTCGACTATATAAACAAACGAACAAGAACTTATTGAACCAATAAACGAACGAACACGAACGAATTTTTTTGTTCAAATACTAACCGAACAAACACAAACACGTTCGAAAATTAGTCGAACTCGAGCTCGAAAACTTCGGTTCGGTTCGATAACCGCCCTAGGAGGTTTGCCAAAAATCCGTCATATAGCCCGCCATAACCGCCATTGTTCACAAATTTAGTAGGGCGGATTGTCAAAAATCCGCCGCACCATGGCCGTCTTTTGATAACACTAAACTTACGTGATATATAACATGCTCAAAGATCGACATGTAAGACTAAGAATTTAGGAAGAAGATGATCTATTGAAACAATACCATGAATGGACAACATAGTTTTAAATGGCGAAAGACGATTCGAGACGATTTGCCCATGGAATGGCCACAAGGCGAGAAGCCAGGTCATGGTGAAGCCTCAGCAAAGAACGCACCAAAACATAAATAATAACAATATAAATGACGCAATTACATATTTAAATATAAATGACGCAATTACATATTTAAGTTCAAATGACAATTTTACTTCAAACATCTAGGAAACGTAACATTAGAAAAATAAACAAAAATAAAATAAAATTAGAAATACAAACATAACATTAGGAACATAAAAATAAAATAAACTAAAATTATAGGCAAAAATAGAAAATAGAGACAAAAAATGAAAATATAAAAAAAAATAACAGTATAATAAAATTGAAATGAAAACTAAAATAAGAAAACAAAAACCGAAAAATAAAACAAAAATAAGATGAAAATGAGGCTTGAAATACTGTTAACACCTAGAGCAATTTTTAAGTTGAAGCAAGGCAGCAGAAACTAAGAGAAAATATCCAATAAATATATAAAAAAAAGGAAAGAAACAGAAAAGGAAATAAAGTTCAAGAAAAAACAAAACAGAAAAAGAAAAGAAGCAATAAGTCGCAGTGCAGCAACACATACCTGGGTTAGCAACAGCTTGGTCAGAGGAATTTGGAAATGAGGTGGGTCAGCAGTTGGTTCTTCCAATTTTCTGACCTAGGTAGGCATTTTGCCCTAATTATAAATCCTAGGTCTTCATTGTTTTGGGGGGAAAGACATGCCTCTCAGGAAACTTAGGCATGAGGAAAGGCACCTGAGGCACCTGCCTCAGCAATGGTGCCGCCTCAGGCAGCGGAAACACGATTTAACATCACATCTGCTGCCTCTTGTCATCTAAAACTGAGATGCACAGATTGCTGCAGACATTCAATCTTATTCAAGTAATGGTGGTAGAACTGCGTTCTACTTATAACTAAGGCCAGTCTAATAGAATGCGAACTTTTCCACAAAGAGGTACTTCGTGTTTGCTGAAACTCTTAAGAAAAATGTTTTCAGTTATCCATGTATGTTATAACTTGGACGCATAGGAAACCTCTTCGGTTTTTTGGGTAACTTCAGATCATGCGCTTTCAAGATAAGAGACTTACAAGGGGGGCTTCATGATAAAAAATGAAAACCGAACAAAAAAAACTGGGCTCAATTTTAGTTTGTCAAAACCACAAAACAGAATAGCATGTAAATAGATAGCGCAAGGCAAAGAATATAATAGAAATAAAAAATTGTGTTGAATGTGATATGTTAAACGAGTTAGTAAAATGCACTACATTCTATACTTGTTTAAAGAAGAAACCAAGTTATTTGCATCAATCCACCCATTCAGACTGCAGTTGAACATTTATCTTTAATCATGAAAACCCTCAGCTCAAACCAATAATGCAATTTACACATGGCACTGGAAGGCCACTGAGGTGTAGACTGCATTCATACATATTCTATATGCAAGCATGTGAACAATTATCTAATCCCTTTTTAAAATTTAAACCACGGCATCAAACAGGGTAAGAAGAAAAAACAAATTGAGATCTCTGAAATAACTCCAAAGTGATCGTCATAACTAATTCTTCCATTAATACCATAACCTTACGAAGAGCCATATGCCCAAAGAAAAAAAAAATATGGATGAATTGTCATGTTACTAGGATAACAAGACATTATGCTGAGAAAAATTATTATTCCATGTCAAAAGTTTATAACATTCACGACTATTAAATCCAATAAAGGTCAACAGAATACAAGACAAACCTGATAGCCATTGAAATCCGCTGCACTAGCCCGAGCACCCTCCTGCAGCAGAAGTTCAGCAACCTGGACTGCACCCCTCACCGCGCTCCAGTGCAGAGCAGTTTGACCGGTATGATCACGTGCACCAATATCACCTCCATGCTGTTAAAAGTGCAAGAACACAATCAGACTATCACAACAATCTACAATCTACAATTAAAATAAATAGAAGTTACAGGATTTATTTATTTAAAAACTTTTGAGTAGGTTACCCATCTACAGTTGCCAGAACAAGTTAGAATACTCAAGCAAACTTCAGGCATCCCTTCAACATTTTCTGGAACAACAAATTATAACAACGTGCCAATGTTTGGTGTAGGTTCTTTGACGGAATGATCATGTGCTGATATGCTTTTTAAAACAATAATCCTTTTCACTAGTGAAACCACAACCGGTATTTTACAAGCTTACATTCTTACCAAATAAGCTTATGCGTTCCACCCTAACCCACTTTCTCGCCAACCAATAATCCAGTAATATCAGATTGCATAACCAAATCCAACATCACAAAGCTCAAGTGTCATAGAGATCAATCATTTGCAAACTATGCAAAATAACACCACAAAAAAAAAGAAAAAAAAAAAGAAGGAAGGAAATATCCTAATACCTCAATAATATATTGAGCAGCAGCCGTTCGATTATTGAGTGCCGCCCATTGGAGAGCGTAGTAGCCAAGAGCGTCGGGTTCAGAAACTGAGCAGCCCTCCCTCTCTACCAGGCGCTGCAGCTTTTCCATATCTCCGTAGGCAGCGGCCGTGTAAACATCGTTCCTCAAACTCTCATCCTCCACCACCGCGGCTGTGGTAGCCTCCTCTCGATGATCCCTCGATTCTACCTCCTCGTCCACCACCTCAATCTCCGACGCCATAGCACGAAAATGGAAGACCCCCTAAGAGATGGGGAGTGACGAGCTACAATGTTTTATGCACTTAATCTGAATGAAAAACCAATACGGCAATACGACTTCCAAATTGACCACCAATCTAGGGTTTTTCTGGAAGGATAGAGGAGTTGACCAAGTTTAATTTGAGATTTTTTTTTTTCCCGAAATAGGCTTTCTTNCAAAACGATAGGGATTCTATTAAAAAACTCAAGCGTCCACAATATTTTGGATTCAATCCCACAAAATTATATGTCACCTAAAAAATAGGCTTAGTCTAAAAAAATAAATTTTCCAATATAAATAAAAGTAGATTGAATTCTGATGATGTGTCAGCCAGAAAAAGTGACTCGATCTACCCTTAAGTCTATTTTAGACCCAAATAGAGACTTAGTCTCTTTGCATTGGAGTGAATTTTATTAATTTTACATAATTTTATCAATATCATCCAAGATTTGGATTTATTTAAATGTCACATAGGCAAGTTAGACTCAATGCATCTGAGGGTGTGATTGTTTATGTATTCAATTAGTTTTTATTTAGTTTGTTTTTTAACTATAGTTAATTTTGAAAAAATGTAGTATGATTAGTTGTTAGTGGATATATTAAAATAATATTTAAATAAAACAATTAAAATTGATTTGATGTAAAGTAGGAGAAAAATTATTGGAAATGATGGTTAGTTAAATTATGTGAGTGGATGAATAGTGAATTAAAGTTGATGTGATGGATAAGAATTATTGGTTGATATTATTTAACTATATTATAATATAGGAGATAATGAAGTTGGGTTAAAGTTGAGTTAAATTTGAGTTTTGATTGGTTTTTTACTGTACAATACATAAACAATCGCCCCCTAATTAGTCGAATAAACCAGCTACAGAATTTTTTTTTCCATAAATAGGCTTTTATAAAAAACATATAATTACAAGCCGTTAATTAGCCGAATGAACCAGCTACACAACTGAATTCATAACAGAGACATACCAGACACACCTAAGCCTGAAAACCACAAACAACACAAATACTAAAAACGAAAAAAATGAATCATCGTGTCATCTATTTTTCGAATGCTCATTTAGTTCGGGAATTTGAGGGGTGATTCATGATTGGGTTTAGGGCTGGTATTTTCTGACCGAAAACCGAAAACAGAACCGAGTTAAAAATAAACCGAACCGAACCGAACCGAATAATGTGTAAAAAACATTAGACATTCCATCTTCTGAAACTAAGACCTTTGATGTTATTTGACGTACAATAATTTCTATATGCTTATTATGAATCCGCACCCCCTGGGATCGATAAACCTTTTGGATCTTATTAACCAAAGAGATACGACTTTGCACAATAGTGAGCTCAGCACCAATCAGGAATGTCCACGGCATTTCAAGAATTCTTGTTATACGCTTGTTCTAGCCCTCAACCCTCTTTTCTAGATTCATCGATATTGAATCAATTGAACGCACTTCTACCACCTGTTCGACTTTTGGAAGTCCCTGGGTTATATCACCAGATCTCGATTTTTCGTAAATAAATGTAATTAAAGTATCTCCTTTATACAGGATTTCCCTATAATGGTCGTGAACAGTTGCTCCTGGAGTGGCCAAATAAGGCTTAGCCGATCGTATTACTACAGAGTCAACTTGAACAAGTATAACTTGACCTGATTTTAGGTGTGGTGCGTTTTTTGTTATACATATATTTTCACAAATAAACTGCCAAAGACTCATTATTGTAGATGTTTCTTGACAATAATTGGGGTGGATAAAATCCCAATTCAAATTGAAAATAATGTTACTGCAAGCGTCGGGGTTATAAATTTTCTCAATTTCACCGATTAAATAATAGTTAATTCCATGAAAAGTCTGTTTTAAATTGTCAAGGTGTAAATAGTTGTTTGCCAAAATCTGGTTATGTGTTAGTAAATGGTAAAATGCATAAACATTCGTAATTCAAAAGGTTGTTCCTAAAGGCCCCTGCGAATTCTTAATTGGAATTAGAGGATCTTTTGGAATTTGAATTGATTCTTTTATCACACGGTGATATTTTCTATCGTTGAATGGACCCATTCGAAAACAATTGGATGATGACAAAATTATCACCGATTGGAATTCCGTATTTCTATTCAATAACGTATGAATAGTTTTGTGATTTTTATTAAGGGGTTGCTGAATTCTTGCCCTGGAATAAACGGAAGTAAGCGGATTGATGTTGGTACAATCTGATCCATTATCAGAAAACAATCTGGAGCCCGGCGAATCGTTCCTTTTTTCCAATATATGAAAGAATGGATTTCACTAAGTCGATTCTTAGGAAAGGGCGAATCAAACCATTTGACCTTATTTCAACAAAAGAAGCACGAGCTTCTTGACTAGAAGAACTTTTTTTGTCTTGGTCCCAATTCAATACTAAACAAGTCCGAACTGATTGAATATTTGTATCAGAAATTCCTGGAATTGGTTTCCCATTTCCATAAAAGATATAATTGACAATTTGAAGTTGCACATTATCCCTTTCGTGCAACAGATCGGGGGGGAAAGCCTTGCTAAAGTTATACCATCCGTTTTTTCATATGTGATGACAGGCCGAAGCAAAGCAAAAGACTTTTTCTTACTCTTACTAGGTGTGATTCGTTGAACATAAATCCAATTTTTCCATTTTTTTGATTCTTTGGAATTTGGTTTTTCCGCTCCTGGTGGTATCAAAGCGCCGCTATGTCAGGATATCTTATCTATCTCTAGAGGAAAATGGATATCTCCAGAAAAGATTTGAAGTTCAATTCTTTTTTTTTCTCTCTCCACTCGGACCAACCCACCCGCTCGACTTTTTATATTGAAAGTAATTTGTGTATCTTTCCGAATGATACTATTGTTCTGTACCATTATGGAACAAGAGTCAGGCAAGATATGCACTTCCTCGGGAATTAAAAAAAGGCAGTCTACTTGGATTTTGTATTTTGGCCTAAATTTCTTGCCCCCTCGATACTCAATCAAATCCTCTTTTTTGAGGATTGAATGCATTTCTAAAGTCTCGTATTTCGTAATGCCCGAACTCTTTCTTTTGTATCGAGGATCATCGAAATATGCAAGAATACTGTTTCCATGGAAAATGCCATTAGGGGGGATTTCCATCGAGATACCTAAGGGGGGCATTAGTTCGTCCGCGCGTTCTCGGATCGATTCGAGTGGAATGATGAATCTATTTATTCGTCTCTTTGAGAATAAATCGGAACTTAAGGGTATCACTCTGTCTTTTTTCTATCTTTTCAAACTATTAAGATTCTGTTCACGCTCCCTAGTAGAAA